AGATAAATAAATAAAGGGAAATTGCCTATACGTGAAATAAAAGCATCCCAACAAAAATATGCCAACTCAGTAAGATTCAAAGGTTCAATATGCATTTTGAGCAGAGAATGATTTCAACTAAAAAGCAACAGTTTGGTTCCAAACTCAAACAGACTAGAGTTCTGTAACTCCATCCCATTATTAAATACGTACCTTGAGACAAATTTCTTCTCTTCAACCCTAACCACCTCCAAGAACTCTTAAAAGGATTAAATAATATATAAATTCTTGCAGTCAAAGCATAGCGGGTAGGGCGTTTGCCTTGTATGCAGCAGACCCGGGTTCGATTCCTCCGCCCCTCTCGGAGAACCCGGCAAACTACCAAGAGTATCTTGCCTGCATGGCAAAGCCTGGCAAGCTATCCCTGATGTATTCAATATGCCAAAAACAGTAACAACAAGTCTCACAATTTGTTGTGAGATGTTACTGGTGCCCGCTCGAGCAAATCGATGAACAACGGGAGGAGAGAGCTACAGTGCTATAAACTCTTACTACAATGCCTGGTACACAGCAGGAGTATATGATAGTATGCTTCCCTCTCTAATTTTCAAGAACTTTAGTCAAAGATTGATTTATAAAGAAGGTGGAAATTAAAGAACAGAATAAAAATTGTTAACTCGACCAAGAGGAGTATCCTTCAGGTACTTTAAATTTGTAAACTAAAAATAAAGAGTGAATTTCTCAAATTATTGGTAATTTGCTATCGTGAAAATGCATCACTGATCTTAAAATGCTTTTTCCCTCTATGAAATATCCTTCGTCTTTACTCTTGGGATTATCTAAGACTTAAGTCACAGAAAACTATTCTGAAAGAATTCTGGGAGGTAGTCAGAACATAATGTCTAAGAAGTTAGATGCGTAAATGTGGCACAACAAAAGTAACATGGGCTTTGGAAACAAAGAAAGGTGGTTGAAAAGATGGTTACAGGGGCTGAAGACAGCATAGCTGGTAGGGTGTTTGCCTTGCACGGGCCTGACCCAGGTTTGATTCCCAGCATCCCATATGGTCTCCTGAGCACCGCCAGGGCTAATTCCTGAGTGCAAAGCCAGGAGTGACCCCTGTGCATCACTGGGTGTGATCCAAAAGGCATAAATAAATAAATAAATAATGTATTAAAAAAAGGAGAAGAAAAGATGGTTACACAGATTTTTAAGTCCTATCTCTATCATATTCTAGAGGTATAATCCTCTGAAAGGCATTTTACTTCCCGAAACCTCATTTCTTTATCTATAAAATGGAAAGGAAGCCATCCATCTCTTGCTATGTCCTTACCAGAATTTTTAAAAAACTAACAAGTCCTGGCATAAAAGACCAATTAATGGTAACTATTATTAGGGTCAATCTGCCAACTGCCTTGCTGAACATTTTGCAAAGATGTACTTTCCTCTTTGGCAAAGGAATCATAGTGCTCCCACAGTCCCATGCCTATATCCAAAATGCTCCACTTTAGTAATCTATAATTAACCAAATCAAGGGCTTTAAGAATTCAGGGCAAGAAAAGTCTAACATGGCTCAACTCATTTTTTGCTGACAGCAACAATGCCAAATCAAGGTGGATATGCTTGCCAAAAGGAAAAAAAAAAAAGTCCGCTTAAACATGATCATTACTGATACTTACGTAAGCTCGAACTAGCTGTGGTTCTTGGGCTTGGCTTGCACGTACACCGTCTTATTGAATAGTGCTGAAAGGAATTGTCTCCTGCCTCGTTTTCCCCACTATGCTATGAAACTCCGCTAGTCCCGTTTTCAAGGCTACATAAAAGAAATGCTCTATTATTGCTATTGCACTTCCTGTGGAACTTACCTTCCCATTTGCAAATTACTTCTTAAAGAAATGTCTGGTTTTGGGGTTCACTTTATATAAGCTTATGAAGAAAGCTATTAATACAAATAACCACAATGACAAGATCCAGTCTACGGAGTACCACAAGTTACAGGTCGGAGTTAAGTGCCAAAGATAAGACTGAGTAACCTGCACACCATATATTATTTCTTATTAACCATTGCACTTGGGAATTATGATTCTTTTCAAAAGTTTTCTTTCTTTTGTGTGGCTAAGCAAAGCAACTGAACTATAGAGACTGATGGCAGAGGACCGGGGATGTGCTCAGCCTAAGTACATACATGCCTTGCATGCATGAGACTTGGGTTCAATTCCCGCACCGCAAAAACAAACAGCAATAAAAGAAAACTGATGACAGATACAGGAATGAAGTAGAAGAAACCAACAAAGAAATGTGACTTCAGATAAATAAGTTTGTATAAGTTACAAAAGAAAAGCAACAGTCACCAATTACAGAGACAAAAGCAGAAATCCCTAGTATAGCTCCAGTCCCTCCCTAAACCATGATAAAGGGAGAAGGGAGTCAAGGTCAGAATGATAAATTTAAATAAGCAATCTAAGAATCAAGAAAGGCTCAACAAATCAAAACGTCACACTGCAGTCCCTTGTGAGGTGACTTTCAACTTAGGGAAAAAAGGGCAATCTTGTGCACTTATTCTAACTTAGCCAATTCGTTATGTTTCTTGTCCCCACCAAAACTTAAATGCCTTTACGTTGTGTCATACAGCTGCATACTTGCCCAGAGCTTCACCTGCTTAATTTCCAGTAGAGAAGCTGTTTTTTGGTTGCAATTAACTTTAAGGCAAGCTCAGCCCTGTCTTCCATAGCCTTAAGGCTGCTGAGTAAATCTAGAATCATGGAACCTACTTTTTGATGCTAGAAAAACAGGAAGAAGGTGGTTCAGCAACAAGAAAAATGGTTAAGAAGTACATCTAGAATTCAGAAAAACTGGTTACAGATATCCCGGCCTGTGCTTTGGTAATTTCTTTATATAGAATTTATTGTGAGTCCCTTTTAGAGGAGGTCATGATGACATGCACTTAAATCCATGATGGGAAGAAAGATAAAATAAAATCCATTCTCCATAAAAATAGTAGCCAGAATCTCTTAAACCCAAATTATATATGTGCTAAGTTAAATACTAAGGCCCTTGACAAATATCTCCAAAAAGATTAGAAAATTTGGAAATCCCACCAAAAAAGAGGAGGGAGGGTTTAAACTAGGATTCAAATCCTGGTCAGCCTGATTTAAAATCCCATGTTCTAAAAATAAAAGGAATTTGTTAAACACTTTTACTCTTAAGAGAACCCATCAAATTTAAGATTTTACACAAAAACCTCCTTAGCCAGAGGTAAGAGACTTGGTCAAAGTTATAAAGCAACTGAACGGCTCAGAAAAAATGTTTCCCATTTCCAGACTCCTCTAAGATCTACCAGCCCCAGCTCCCCAGCTGCTGTCTTCTTCCTCTAATTCCTCCCAGAGGAGTTTTACTCTGTAAATGACAAGGACACTGCCCTAAAGCATATCATTAAGCAAATTCCTTCAGTCTTGCTCAGGCCTAATTTGTTTATAATTGGGTAAATAAGATAAAGGATGATTTACTTTATACCTTCACCGTGAGGCTATTATTATACCAAAAAGTTATGCTAGGGGGGCCGGTGCCATAGTACACAGCAGGTGGAGCGTTTGCCTCGCACGTGGCTGACCGGGGTTCCATCTCCCGTAGCCCATCAAGTGCCAGGAGCAATTAATTCCTGAGTGCAGAGCCAGGAGGAACCCCTGAGCACTGCTGGGTGTAACCCCTTCCCCAACCCCACGCCACCCCCTAAAATTTAAAAAAAAAAAGTTATGTTGGATTCAAGGTTCCCATTCAGAGTCAAGGTTCCCATTCAGAGTCCTACACACAGTGGGAAAAAAAAAAAAAAAACCAAGGCCGACTGCTCATCTTTTTATGCTTTTTATGGCAGTTGTAGTAGAGCAATTACCTATCATTCGCCAACAATAAAAGGGTAGGTATAAACCACCGTGCTCTGGATTGTGCCGGGGCACTTGGAAGGCACAGTCCACATCAGTCTTTTCCCTCTTTCTGCCCCCACCTAGTTTTTTTCTCTCCCCCCCCACCCCCCCCACCCCCGCCTTCCTCCACTTCCCTTGGGCTAATTGAAGTTTAGAGAGTTCCAGAGACACACCACTGACTGCAAGAGCCAGTGCAAGGGGAAACCAGGAGGGGATCTGGTCCACCCCGTCGTCGACTCGGTCCACGATGCCCAGGCAGGCAGGCAGGCAGGCAGGCATGCAGGCAGGCAGGCGCGCCCGCCTCTGCCCCCCGCACCGCGGTCTGGCAGCAGCTGTCGGCCAGGGGGGCCGTTCCCGGGAGTGGAAGCGTCGCGGCCAGACATTTCCAGGTCACAGACAGCCGGGGAACCACCGAGCGAGAACAATCGCGCTCTCGGGCCGCGGTCCCCCCGCCACCTGGGCGCGCCGCTGCCGGGCAGAGAAGGGCGAAGCTCTGAGGCGGAGCGGCGGCGTGTTTGGGGGGTGGGGGGTGGGCGGGGGGGGTTGAGGAGAGGGAGTCCCCCCTCCCGGGCCCGGAGGGGCGCCCCGATATCCGATCGCAGGGTCCCGGCACGCCGGGCACCACACGGCCTCAGGGCTGCGGGCTGGCAAAGCGGCCGGCCGGCCGGCCCCGGACAGGGCAGGAAGAGAGTGGCCCCCCGCCCCCCGCCTGCGTCCAGCCGGCAGGCGTCCGAGCTGTCCCCGGCGTGGCCAGCACTGCTTGCCCACGCGGCTCGCTCTCCCCGCGGCGGGGGGGAGGGGGTGGGGCGGGCGATTTTCTTTTTTTTTTTTTCCGAGACCACCGAGGCGGAGGTTCAAGGGTCCCGGGGTTCGGAGCGGGAGTCCTCGGGGTGCCCGGACTCTCCCCGCCCCCCGCCCCGAGTAGTAAGCGAGCGCGCTCCCTCCATGTTCCGTGCCACCTGGCGCCGGGGCTCGCGGGCCCGAGCATCCCGGCCGAGGGGCGTGGAGGGGCCGCCGCCGCCGCCGCCGCGGCGCGCGCGCCCGCCCCCCACTCACCCCTCTCACTCTCCCCCCACCCGACTCCCCGTCCGGCGCCCGTACCTTCTTGACGGTGCGCGGCGCCTCGGTGACGGTGCCGTCGGGGCTGACCAGGGCCTCGCCGCCGTCGCGGTGCCGCTGGTGCTGGTGGTGAGGGTCGCTCCGCTTCATGGCCGACGCCTGAGGCACTTTGCCCGCGGCGGGGCTGAGCGCGGCGGCGGCGGCGGCGGCGGCGGCGGCGGGCGCCGAGCCCGGCCCGGGGGCTGGGGGCCGCTCGGCGGCGGGAGCCGGAGCCTCGGGGTCCCCGCCGCCTGCCGGGGGAGCCGGGGGAGCCATGGGGTTGACGGCCGCCGCTGCCGCGCTCAGGACCAGCGGCGATTCCACCTCGGACAGACTCAGGTCCTTCAGCTCCACCTCAGGCACCTTGGCGGCAGCCGCGGCTGACACGACCTGCACCGACATCACCGCCTCCGCGGCCACCGGCGGCTCAGGCTCCGGCTCCGGCTCGGCCCCGCCTCCCGCCTCCCTGCCCCTGCCCTCCCCCATTCCCCCACTCCTCCCCTCCATCGCCTCCGCTTCCCACCCCCTTCCTCCGCCCGCCAGCCCGCCAGCCAGCCCCGGTCGCTCCCGCTCCACCCCGCCCCGCCCCGGCCGGGCCCCCCGCTCGCGCGCGAGGCGTCACGGGACCTGTAGTGCGCTTGCTCGGTCTCGCACACCGGCGGCCGGGCCGAAGGACTTCAACTCCCAGCAGGCCCTGCGCGCCGGGGGCGGGGCCCGGGAGGCCTGCTGGGAGTTGTAGTCCGGCCGCCTTCCTCCGGCGACGAGGACTCCTTGTAAGTGAGATGGCGCTCTAGGGCCGGCGACTAACGGAAAGGAGTGAGACTAGGTGACTCCACGGAGGAGATGAGGAAGAGAAAGTGCCCGGAGGAGTTGCGGCTTCCGGGGAGGGATCGCTAGGGGGGTAGGAATGCATCCACCCTGACAGCGTGCATTTCCTCCCGGTGCGCGCACGTCTGCGGTCACGTGGGCAGGCATTTAAAGGAGCAGCGGCAGCATCACGTGAGGAGCGCCTCCGAGGCTGCATTTTTCGGTTTCCGCGTAATTGAGACCTATCTCCTTCCATACGTCTAGTGATTTTTATTTTTTTCGAGGGATGAAATAGGACCTTGTCTGCTGTGGCGGCTTCTGGTACCTTTTGGGTCTAGAGCAGCAAAGATAAATCAATGAAAACTAGGCATCACTTGATCCACATTTCAAGGCTTAAGAATTTATACTTTGAATTAATTACACGTTGAATTAAACGAAGACTCATTTGGGGTAGTACAGAGCGGTAGTACAGGGGATAGGACGCTTGCCTTGCACGTGGTCAACCGAATTCAATCCCAGGCACCCCATATGGTCCCCTGAACCCGACCAGAAGTGATCCCTGAAAACACAGACAGGAGAAAGCTCTGAGCACAGCAGAGTGTGGTAAAAAACTATCGAAGACATCTTTCGATTTGTTTATTCTAGTAGAGAAAATTCACCTGAGCACCTGGAGGCACACCCCTCTGTGCCCCTTTGGTACCACCTGGTGTCTTCCCTAAAGGCCTCCACCTGGAACCTCAGCGGTGGCCGAATATCTTCAGCACCATCACCCCTGCTTTGAACCACTGGCGGCTGCATGGACGAGAATTGCCACTGAGGCCAGGGGACCCCTGGCCTCCTGAGCATGGTCTGGGAGGCCTAAATTTTTTTTAATTTAAATTACATTATTGTAGATGGTGTAGCACATGTGTAGAACAGTTTTGTTTATCATAAGGTTTCTGGAACTTCCAAAATGTCTAAATATAAGGCACCCCATATGGTCCCCTGAACCTGACCAGAAGTGGGCAGAACGACCCTATAGCAGGTAAAAAGTTTGCCTTTCATGAGCCTGCCGGGGTTGGAACTCCAATATCCCATATGCCTCCTCCACCCCCCAGAGCATCGCCAAAAGTAATTCCTAAGTACAGAGACAGGACTTACCCCTGAGTGTGCCCCCCCCAAAAAAAAGAAACCCTGAAAATGCAACTGCTTATGCAGAGTGTAGTGTGTTTGTCTTGCATGCAGCTGACAAAGGTTCCATCCCCAGCATCCCTTATGGTCCCCCAAGTTTGCCAGTAGTACTCCCTGAGCAGAGCCAGGAATTAGCTTTAAGCACCTCTGAGGTGCCCCCCCCCAAAAAAAAAACAAAAAGCAATTGCCTATGCATAGGCTTTTCCTTCTCTGAGAACAAAGGGGAATCTTCCAGGTCATGTCTGTGCAATTCTGACATCCCCAGAAGGCCCCTAGTCTTCCTGGTAACTGTTGTCTCCCTGATACTCCTATTATTTCCCCCGGCAAGGGAAACCCTCACTCTCCAACCCTGTGCTGTGGCCGCATCGCAAGGCCGGTCATTTGTGGCGCTGTCCTACCAAGTGAGTGAACTACAGCCTCGTGGGGCCGGGCAGATCCTGAATCTCTGCTCTCCTGGTCTGAATTGAAATCTCCCCTCCTGTGTTGAGAGGCATCTGCATACGCCATTTCCCTCAAGGCCACCTGATGCAAGGGCCTCTTCCACTTTCTCCTCACACACCAGCTTTCAGAATTTCCTTCCTGTTTCAAAGAACCAGCCCAGAGCTTCATCCTCCAGCTGTTGGGGTAGAGATTAGCAGCTTTATAACTTGGTGCTTTCTTCCCCCTAATGCACAAGGGAGCTGCGGCCCAGCTACCTGGCATGTGTTGAAGCCCCTGGGCAGCAGCTGCTTACCTGGACTGCTACTAGAATTGATTACGGAGGGGATGAATTAATTCGGCCATGGGATGTGGTTACAAAGCATAAGGCACTGGAGCACTGGACGGAAACCGATATTCATCCTTTATTAATCAACTCAGAGACTCCACTGGAGTCAAACATCAGGACCTAGTCTTCACCCAGGCTCAGCTCTTGTCCTTTACACCTGCCACTGCCGCCACCTTTGTTACCAAGCAACCCTAGAGACAACTTGAAGATGGAAATGCCATTCTGGAAACAGCGTGATGAAGCACAAGTTTATGAGTAATTTATTTCAGAACATTTTAGTTCGTAATAAAACATTATCCTATACAAATCTATAAGCCATCAACATAAACCTCTGCTCTAGCTGCTTCATTCAGATCATGGAAGCTTCCAGACTTTCCAGAAGTAAAGTCCACATCAGTGTTCATGGAACTTCCAAAAAACCTTTTAATACCTGAACTCTGTCACTCTGTCACTCTCCTCCCATTGTTCATCGATTTTCTCGAGCAGGCCCAGTAACGTCTCTATCATGAGACTTGTTGTTACTGTGTTTGGCATATTGAATATGGGTCGGCCATGTTGGCTGCGTGCAAGGCAAACGCCCTACCGCTGTGCTATCACTCCAGAGCAATAGCAAGGGCTGGAGCAATAGCACAGCGGTAGGGCGTTTGCCTTGCGCGTAGCCAGCCTGGCTGAGCTGGGTTCGATTCCTCCGCCCCTCTTGGAGAGCCTGGCAAGCTACCGAGAGTATCTCGCCTGCACGGCAGAGCCTGGCAAGCTACCCATGATGTATTCAATACCTGAACAGATACATAAAATTACCCAATATATGAAGAGAACTTTTAGTATGAAAGATGAATAGAAGCAAGGAAAAACTTAAATAACCTGCAGGAAATGGAAGCTAAACATGAAGAAGAACTCGAGACCAAACAAAATGGTTAATATCCTCAGAGATTGAAGATATTGTATTGTATTGTATTGAAAGAACATGCTGTTTCTAGAAGTGAACATTCAGAAAACAAACCTCAGGCCTTTGTTCTTTCTTTCTTTTTTATTTTTGGCTATTGTTGTTTTGTTCTATATTTGGAACATATCCAGTGGTGCTCAGGGCTTACTCTTGGTTCTGCATTCAGGGGTCACTTCTGGCAGACTTGGGAACCATAAAGGGTACCAGAGATTAAACTTGGGTGGGCCACATGCAAGGTAAGTACTCTTCCCAATATACTATTGGTCCAGCCCAAACCTCAGGCCTTTAAAATGAAAGTATACTAACAGAAACTTTTAAAACCTTATAAGTAAAGAGAAATCAAAAATAGGAGACACTAGCTATATCTTTGCTCAGATTGATGACTTGTTTATGGTTTATATATTTGTGTAGAATGCATCTTTTATCATTATAGATGCAGTACATTTCAGAAAACCATAATTTTCTGAAAAAAAAAATGCCGATCTGGGGTACTGGAAAGATAGTACAGTGGATAAGGCATGATATCCCTGGCACCCTGAGCTGGCCAGGAGTGATCTTTGAGTGCAGAGCTAGGAGTAAGCCCTGAGCACTGCCAGGTGTGGCCCCCAAAAGCCAATCTGTTAGAATTTTTCCAGATATTCAAATAATTTTTGTTTAAAGAAAAGAAGAAAAACACATTAGAGGATCAGACCTTCTTAATAATAGCAGTGCCAGAAAGAAGTGAACAAGCGTGGAGAGCGGGTATGGGGAAGAAGTGTACAAAGGAAATGGAGACATTTCACCAGACATTAATTCCAAAAATTCCCTGAAGCTGAAAAATAAGAATTGGCTGAATGAAAAAGGACACTAGCTGCCCAGCTCAACAAGTGAAAATAGGCCTATGTTAATACACATCATTATATAATTTCAAAATCCCCAGAGGCAAAGAGATGATACCTAAGGAACATATTTACAAAAATTCAAGTCAGAAAATACAGTGGACTTCTTAAAAGCAGCTCTGAGAGGTTCAGTCACTACTGACCCTTTGTTTGGAGAATAAACCAACCATCAGCCAAAGTTGGGAAGGGTTGTCATCCAACTGCAGAATCCCTTGCTGGGCCTGGAACCAATCCTGGGGTAGAGCTTCTACACTTCCTGCTGTTCCGATTTATCCTCCAGGGGGCGCTGGCAGTAAAAGTTTTCCCTAATGGGGCTCATCCGGCTTTCCCAACTGGGCTAAATTACTGGTCCTTTGCGTTCCAGTTTTCAAAATTGCTACTTTTAGATCCTCCCCTCCCAATTTTTTTTTTTTTTACTCCTTGTTGGCAAAAATAAAAAAGCACCAACTCCTATTCTCTTACCTAAAATAAACATTGAAGAATTTTGCTCTTCTCTTCAAAGTTTTCTTCCCAGGTAAACAGGAGTAATACATAATATTATTACCTGTCTTGTTTGGGGAGAGGGGCAGTATCCAGCGGTATTTCAGGACTGTTTTGGGCTCTCTGCTCAGGAGTGACCCCTGGTGGTTCCAAGTGGTCCCTAAGTACTATCTGACCCCGAATTACAGAAATTTTTGACTTTACAAACAGTATGAAAGTTAAAACGATGGGAGGGAGGTGGGGACACTGGTGATGGGAGTAATGTTGGAAATATGTACAAGGGACACAGACATTAACAATATTGTAAATCACAGTGACTCAATTTTTTCAATTTGATAAAACCAATAAAAGCAGGAAGAAGCAACACAAAAATTATTGATAAATTCCTAGTGCATATAAGGAGGTATAAACATGGAGTACCCA